GTTGGACGCTTAACCGACTGCGCCACCCAGGCGCCCCTGATTTTTCTAGTTTATAAGGGACGTGTCTGGCAATCTGGGCTCAGGTCATGATCTCACAGCTCGTGAGATCGTGCCCCGCGTCGGGCTCTTTGCTGACAGCTCGGAGTCTGGAGCCTGCTTCGGATTCCGTGTCTCCCTCTCTCTCTGCCCCTCCCCTGCTCGCAATCCCTTCCTCCCTCCCTCTCTCCCCCCCCCTCATAAATAAACATTAAAATAAAATCAGAATTTGAAGGAGAGGAATATTCAGACTATCGGTGTCATTTCTTTTTAACAGCACACAGTGTTAAGGTCTAGGTTAAATCCAGCAGTTTCTGGCTTCAGTCCAGTACTCTTTCCTCTTGTTGTATGTGAGACACTCCAAACGTGCCCGGATGAGGCAGCTGAGTGGGCTCAGATCTGGGCTTTAAACCGTCACGTATTTTCCACTTTTTTACAAAAGGGTCTGTTAAACAAATTAAGAAATGAAACCTGACCTTAAAGGTTCTAGCTCCTTTTTTTCTTTTTTTTTTTTTTTTTTTTTTTTTTTTTTTTTTTTTTTTTTTTTTTTTTTTTTTTTTTTTTTTTTTTTTTTTTTTTTTTTTTTTTTTTTTTTTTTTTTTTTTTTTTTTTTTTTTTTTTTTTCTAGCTCCTTTTTTTCATTCAACCTGTAGCAAACATTAGAATTTATGCTCCATTCAATACTATCAAAACAACCGGGTAAACACAACTGTATCTGCATTGTCAATTATAGTAGACATTTCGATATAATTGCACAGCAGAATGTTAACATCCTATGATTTTTATATTTCCTTAAGAGAAGCAAAAAAGTTGATAAAGAATGTCAGTACTAGTTATGCACCCAAAAGGCCTAAAAATAAGGTTTTGGAATTTTCTCTTTCTGCATTTCAGATCTGAGAGTCAATGAGTAAATAAGAACAGCACAAATTTGATTATTCCAGTAGGAACCTTTCCTCCGAAGTTGGCAGCTGTCAGTTTTTCTCAGCATTTTGAACCGGATTCTCTGTCATTTCTGACGCCTGTTATTTCTGATAAGATGGGCAAGGCACACACAAAATGTCTCAGTTTGTCTCAAGTCTCTGTGGCAGAGAGCTGACAACATTCAGTGCCGTTGTCCTTTCCAGACAAAAGCCACCTGTATGTGGCTCTGTAAGTCGTCAACTCAAGAGTATTACTGTTCTCTTCATGGGATGGTACTTGGTTACCTGATAAATTGTTGGCTCCCTGCCCACATTACTTCCTTTAACTGACATAAAATTCGCCCAATAATTGACCAGCTTTATCGCACAGGTAGTAGAGGGAAGGACTTTCTTATTCCTAGATGCACCTAGATTTCAAACTTTTGAAAAAGATGGAAGAAGAGGCCAGTTGGCCAACTGCCCTAGGCAGATAATAGAGACTAAACTAGAAAAAGTCTTGTCCAAGGCGTACGGAATTTTCTATTTTGAGAGAAACAAAAACACCAACTCGTGGCCAGGGTCAAACCATCATGCAACATCTTACTGTCTCCTTCCCTCTTAAATCTTGCTCCTCTCCCTTTTTTTTCTTTTCTTTCACTTCTACCTTCTCCCGCCTGCTCTGAAGCAATCCTTTCTGCTCCTTTCTCGGCCCCGGCTCCAGTTGGCCCACTCGTTCAACTGGCTGAGGAGACTGCTCACTGCTCTGTCTTGTTTGTTGACCCTGGTCACCATGTTGAAGACTGCCTGGTTCAGATATTTATCCATGAGGAGGAACCCTTCGTCACCGGTTTTGATTGAACTCTTTGAAGAAGTCTCTAATTGGAGATTTTAAGACAGCGGAAGAGATTGCCTGAGAATGATTAAACTCACGCTCTACAAATGAGAATTCTTCTCCCTTTGCTATACATTTAACTGAGGTCTGACTAGATACGAAAACGTATAACCAGCAGCAATAAGCAAAGAAACGCCTGTGTGCCGAAGTTCACCCCAGGGCTTTCCGAGACTAGCTTCTGCTTCCTCTCTAGCAGGAACTAGATACGTCAGAAAAAGCGATTTCATCCCTGTCCCGCGACAGATTACACCTCTCCCCCAACACCACTTTTTACTGATTCTCTTCACTGTGCTTTATTCCAATCTTGAGCCATATATGGTGCTTTCTTCTCTCTGACCTTTAAATCGTCATTGACAAGAATTCCTGGTCTGTCTACCTTTGCCGCAAGTGCACGTCGGAGGTCGGGATTCCAACGTGTTATACAAAGTGTCTCCTGCCAGCTTGTCTGTCAACTAGAATGTTTTCTCTCTCTCCTGTGTTTCTCTCCTTTTTTTCCCTCTCTCTCTCTCTCTCTCTCCCCTCCCCACCTCCTTCCCTCCTCCTCCTTTCCCTTCTTCTGTGTTCTACCTTGTATTGTGGCGATAGAAGGACTCCATTCTCAGTACCTTTTCACAGACGGGGAGACCTTGAGCTTGGAGTCTCACAAGAAAACTAAAGCTATTCCGTTATAAAGACGTTCAGGTGTCCTGACATCAGGATACCCCCTCCAGTACTCTTATGCCGAACCTCCTCTTTGTGTGTGGGCTACCCTGGTGCACAGTAGGCATACCGTAAGTGCTCCCCCCCCCCCACTTGTTTGGATAGCCCTGATTCCTAGGCTCTGCTCGCTGCTGAAATGTCATATTCCAATAAAAGCATTCCAGTACAAAGAGAACGAAGAAAAAGAAGTTCTGATGGAACGCCTAAACGTTGCTTCTCAGATTCTAATGTGCGCCCGCATCACCTGGGAATCTTGTCACAATTCAGATTCGGACTCAGTTAAGTCCAGAGCCAGACCCGACAGTCGGCATTTCTACCAGTCTCAGGTGCTGCTGGTCTGTGGACCATACTTGGAGCCGCGAGGCAGTAGATTATTTTTGAGTTGCCCACTCGCTTATTTTATAATAACTCTCCAAACAGATTGCTGACTTTAAAACAACTTAGAGCACCAAATAAAGATCGTCATGTGCCTCATTTTTAAAACATTTTTTTAATGTTTATTTATTTTTGAGAGAGAGAGACAGAGTACGAGCAGGGGAGGGGCAGAGGGAGAGGGAGACACAGCATCCGAAGCGGGCTCCAGGCTCTGAGCTGTCAGCACGGAGCCCGACGCGGGGCTCGAACTCACGGACCGCGAGATCATGACGCGAGCGGAAGTTGGACGGCCAACTCACTGAGCCGCTGAGGCGCCCCGGGTGCCTCATTTTTTAATCTACCATCTTGAATCCAAGTTATTGGATAAACTTTCCAGGTTTGCATATGTCTTGTCATTTTGAATAGGTTCCAATGAAATGATGATCTGTGAGTAAGAGTGTAGGGATAAGTGACTTTCAATAATTTGGGTTTTGTTGAGAATTTATGCTTCCGCTTGCTTTTCAAAGAATTTGCAGTGGCTTAAATTGAAGAGCACACGATAAGCCGGCGTCAGGAAAACCCAGGTGGATCCGATACCCTAGCTTATCAGGTCTCGGAGACAAGCTGTGTTACTCGGGAGCAAGCTCCGGGGAATATTGGTGTTCAAAGCTGCGTTTTCCCTAAGGCAAAAACATCATCAAAATATAAAAAGCTTT